TGGGGTCTTATTTCTACTACAGTCAATCCTGGACTCCATTAGTGAAATAAAATCATCACACCAGTGGTCAAAATGGAGTCGTAGAAATCCTGACACTTACTCCTTCTCCTGCATGAGGTGGGAAAATACGGACACACGTCTGTGGTGCGTCAGTGCTGCTCCCCACTGTACCCAGGCACATTTTGGCCAAGATGATGATAATTAGCAGACTTAAACTGAATTTATGCTGAAGATGGAGTTTGTTCCAGAGCTGAACAGCTTTCCACCTAGTTGTGTACTTTAGACACAGTTTGCAAGATGACTGATGTCACAACGCCATGGTCCGAACCTTTTCCGGCACAGGTGCTGCCTGCACGGCTCCTCTCGGGCTGCCTGGCTGAACAAGCCGTGCCTTCCCCTTCCCCTTTCCACTGATTTCTCTGGAAATGGCTGTTTGCCTCCCGTCCTGCTTATCTGTTTCCACCTTTGCTCCTGATACTGATGCCCAACTTCCTTTCATCCTGCCGTAATGGATGCTGATGCCCGTGGAAAGCAGGCAAACATATTACCTGCCCAGTCCTTGCTCTGTATCCAGCTGTGCGGTGACGACCCTTCTCTCCCAGGGGCAGAGGGTGGGCTGGTGTGGGCAACAGCGATGCAGGGCCTGGCTGCATGGGCAGGAGGTGGGCAGCCCCTCCCTGAGCTGCCATAGGTGCTGGTCCAGCAGCCTCATCTGCTGCTGCATTATGGACTCAAGCTGCGCCAGGGGAGGTTTAGATTGGATGTAAGGAAGAAGTTCTTCACTGAAAGGGTTATCACACACTGGAACAGGCTGCCCAGGGAGGTGGTGGAGTCACGGCGATTGTGCCACGACATGGTCACGCTGCAGAGCGCACTGGGGCACGAGGGCAGCCGCCTGCACTGTCAGAGCGGAAAAATTGCCTCCAGAGCTTTGTCCGGAGGTGAGCATGTGAGCAGAGCTCCTGCAGCATTCTACAATGTGCTTTATGACATAGAATCATAGAAT